TAGGGCTTGGTGTTTCTCATCTTCTTTTGTAGCCTTGTGAGAATACACAATTTAGGTTTTAACACTTTATCAGCATGAAGTGTTTACGTGTTTAATGGTTTCTTAGTTTTTCAAAACACTGATGAACCCAGAGTGCCTTTAAGACACTGAAAAAAGCTGTGAGTCTTTGTCACTGTTGTAGTTTTTAAACTGGGCCTTGAAGATGGCCCTTTAGAATGTGCTGAGGAGTGGCTCTGATCTCAGCCTGCTCACCAGTCAGCCCTTCAGAAATTGTCTGGAGGAGTGAGAGAGGAAAGCAGAGTGTTTTGGGTCCTGAGCTAACTTTCCATGTTACTTTGCATTCGTGGAAGATTTGTAGCTGCTCTGCTTCGAAAACAGCTGATGAACTGAATCCTAATGAATCCCTTAACGTCTTAGTGGAGAAAAAGTCAACCACTTGCAGATTGACTGCTTACAAAACCAGAAAGTGAAAGTGAGTGAGACTGCTGATCTCTGATTGTGCTAATGTGAATTTTCTGTCCAGGAGATGAACTACCCGAGCTGGACAACATGGCTGACTACTGGTTGGGCTCCATCGCCAGAGCTACGATGCAGACTTACTGCGAGGTCATCCTGCAGATACCAGAGCTCACGGTGCATTCCACAAAGCAGCTTTCCACAGACGTTGGTAAGGCTGGTGCACGTGTTGTCCTGAGAAGTGTTGCTGTGGCACACGGGTTCTTTCATTGCTTTAGAGACTGCAGTGTGGGTTTCTCCTTTAGTTGTGAGCGTGTTTATCTGGCACGTTGCATGGAGGAGTGAGTGGTTCACAGCTTTTGCTGTGTTTGGTTGCATCTGTCTCGGATTAACTTACAGCCTTTCTGCACTGAAGGTGTTTGATGACTGAAGTTGCTTTCAGCATGGAGAAATTTTCAAGAACAAAGTGAGAGACGGTTGGCATGTATCTGTTTCTGTCTTCTCCCATGCCAGCAGAGTGACTGAGGGAGGACTGATAGGAAGGTGTTGGGAAAATGGTTTTGTAGTCATTTGAGGTGCTTTTTTTCTTATCCTAAGCTCTTGAGAGTGTCATCACAAGATCACAGTGATTGGTAACAAGTTATTTCCAAAGTTTTTTGCCTTTGAAAATGCAATTGTGATCTGTGACCATAGTGACTGACCGCCCTGGGAATGTCATGGTGCAGATCATGACACATGCAGAATATGTCTCAGCCCTCTGAAGAGAGCAGTTATCTAATAGTGTACAGGAAGCCAAAAATGCTCATCAGTACAGTTGGATTCCAAATACACTGCAGTTTTTCTGTGATTTTGATCTAGCAGTGACAGAATTCTGGCTGTCATGAAGAACAACTATTATTTGAATGCTGCTTGCACAGAGCCTGATGCCCATTCAAATACATGTTTATCTTTCGTCTTGCAGATTATCTAATAAATGTGATGGATGCCCTTGGCCTTCAGCCATCAAGAACACTGCAAAATATTGTAACTCTGTTGAAGGCAAAGCCAGAGGACTACAGGCAAGCTGCAAAAAGCGTGCCTCGCAGAATGGCCAGCAGCATTGCTGCAATGAGGGGCCTGGAGTGTTAGCTGTAATGCCCACACTGCTCAAGGGCTGAACTGGTTTGAGTTTTCTTTTTAATTCCATATCAATTTTGTGAAGACTGTGAAAATGTCTCTGGAAATGAGAAGGATTTATTTCTGAAGGACGTGTAATAAAAGCCTTTGTCTAGGAAAAGCCGGTTCCGTTTTTGCATCTTTACAAGTGTGGAAAGGTATCCTGCCACCAAATTTGCCAAAAACTGTCTGGATAATATTGAGCAGTGCTGACTTCTAAGCAGAAATGTTCTGCTGCTCACTGGGAGGTCCGCGCTTCGTGGCGGTGAGATGACTGGCTTTGTCAGAACAGTTTAATCAATTCTGAATCTGAAATTACGGGGTAGGTGCAACAGAGATCAACCGATTGGAAGCCCTCTTACCTGGGGGCGGTGGTCATTGCTCAAGTCTGTCATTATTCACAATGTGAAGAAGGCAGTCTCATCAGTTAGCAGAACAGGCATGATCAAGCTCAATTCTGAGAATAAAACCAGTTTTGTAAGTTGTGGTTTTTTCTTTTGAGATTGATGTGTTCTACTGAAGGCTGTGGCGAGTGTAAGAAATCTAATGTGAGTTTTGTTTTCTTGTAAAATTCATTAAAACCAGGTCTGCCAGATCTGTCCCTCTTTCCCTGCAGTCCTGCGTGTGTTCTGTCACTCAGACATTTGTTTAATAGCACACATGTGATGTGCACATACAGGCTTATACTTTACCAGGTGTATTCTTAAAGTGAAAGTGGGTTCCTTTGCTGTTCTCACCTGGACTAGGGTGATGTTTTACTGACAAAAAAAAAAAAAAGTAAGGAAGTGAAGAAAGCAGGTGTGCTTTATAAACAGTTTTTGGACTTTGCTCTGAAACACTTTTGGTTCCGAAATTTGTGGGAAATTGAAGTATGTTTTCTGTTACGCTCTTTTCTTGTTGATGTTTTCAGTTAAATTATTATTCTCTTTGTTTGAAAGCATGGAAAGTCTATTCGGAAATCTTCCAGTAAGAGGGAAATCTGGTGCTGTGCTGAACCAGAGCTTCTCAGGTGTCTGGCTGTGCTGTGTCCATGTGCACAGTGAGCTGAGCCTTCCCATGGCTGCACCACTGCTGCAGCGAGAGCAAACCCTTCATACATGTACACTTATCTGCCTGATGCAATCAGTCCATTTGGGGAGAGAGCTAAGCTAGTAAAGAGCCTAAGTCAAGTGCCTGAGACACTTTCCACTTTTATTAGTTGTCAGACGCCCTCAATAAACCAGCAGTAACTGGAATAGTAAACTGTCCATGTCCTGCCAGAGTACACACTGTTCCAATTCACCATCGGGGTGAGAGGGGCGAATCTCATTGTTTGTGCCTCTCCCATCTTTTTCCTGCCTCGCAACTGGAAACTGAGGGTTTCTGTGGCTGTCTCACCTGCTGTTACTGCAGTGCAGAGGGCAAATGGCCCTGGGCAGGCACCCAGCTGGGGCCAAAGGTGCCTGGAGCTGAAGGTACTGGGGCTGGGACCAGTGCTGCCTTGTGCTCTCACTGCAGCAGCAGCAGCTCATGCTGGAGCCATGTAAGTTCCCAGTGTGTCCAGAGCATCTCAGCCTGAAACTTTAAACACTGAGTCTTAGAAAATTTAAGGCTGTGAATATTCCAGTGCGGTGTTATCTTGCAGCTGTACCTGCAGCAGCCCTAGACCAGGAATGCACTTGCAATTAAGGGATTGGCTTTTTCAAGGAACTTTGAACGCCGAATTTCCTTGCAGAGAAGATACATCAGTGATAGTGCAGCTTAAGCAAAGGAGCCATTGTCTCCAGTAGGTGAACAGTAGGAAGCAACAGCGCTCATAATTGCAGATATAAACAGCATTTCTTATTGTCCTAATTGTTCTTTATATGCCTGCACCCTTCAGGTCCTCACATTCTATGCCTGTAACACTGCTGTGGGTAATCTGAAGGCGTTTTCCTGTGAGGAGGGTGACGTGCAGCACCTGCTTGCTGATCACACAAAGCCTGGACTGGAGACCCATCACTTCTTTGGTCCTTTAGAAGCCAAGGGAACTTGAGTCGTGAATACAATTTACTGTTTGAACACTCAGGGACTTCGTGCTCCAGGCAATTAGTCAAGGTAAATCTGTCCCTCTGTATCTTTCTTTGTTTGTTGATATGCGCAGAAAAGGAAATGTAAGCATAAAGGCTGTGGGCAGCAGTAACTGGTTCCAGCCCATGTGAATGTGGCAACCTGGAACAGGCTCCTGCTTTAAGAACAGTTTGTGATGAGAGGCTGCTGGGATTTCAAGACCTTTGCTTTTCTGACCCGTGCTTCCACCTGTGTGCATGCAGACTGGGACCCTCCGCCTGTCAGAAACATAGGGAACAGGCAGTGCAAATGGCTCTGCGAGAAGCAGTTGTGCCCAGGCCAGCATTTCACCCCACTTGTTTCTGTATGCAGTTGTCACAGTTTGGTGTTTAGCGTGCATGAGATGAGGTGCTTTGTGCTATGGACGTGTCCAGACGTGGGAGCACCGTGGGATGTGGTTGGTGGCAGCCGGGCTCACTGCCTCTCTGTGGGCAGCACCGAGACCTGTGGGCAGGGAGGTGCTGGGACCCATGGCCGCTGTGCTGGGAACCATGCCCAGGACATCATGTTCTTGGGCCTATGATTTAACCACACGATCATGTTTCCTCTTGAAGTTATGCACAGGTACTTCAATAACGCAGATCATTGGGGGGTGGTGGTGGTGGTGGTGGTGGGCATGGAGGCCCCAGGGAATGTGTGGTGTGAACCCAACCAAGCATGGGAACCAATGTTCCTGGATCAGCCCCTTGCCCACGAGCTGCTGCTCAGCACCTGCTGCCAACAGGAACCACTCCAATGGAGACTTTTTAATGAATTTGTTTGTTTATTGCTGAAAATGGCACTGTGAATGGCTTGGCACTTCCTTCCCGCACCTGAAGCTTTATCGCATCTGGAGTATTTATCTCTGACACACATTAACTGGCATGCCCACCTGCAGGCAGCATTAACAGCTCCCGCGTAGCAAACCCAGACTACAAACAGAGCGTGCGAGGCCTCCGAGCAGCAGAGGGATGTTCTTTCCACTCTGTTTACATTAGTGTCACTTAGACGTGGAAATACCATGACCTCAAGCCAAAAGCAGCTTAGATCCTGTGGTTCAGCCCTCAGTGCAGACCCCTTGGAGCACTGGGCACTCTGTCCCCAGCCAGTGGGCTGTAGTAATAGCTGCCTGCCCCATGCCTGCCTGCAACTGCCTACCAGCACTGCCTCCTTGGCCCCAGGTGCTCCCAGGAGCTCAGCACCCACTGAGCCAGAGCTGTGCACAACCGTGTTGTGTTGTAGAGAAGTAACAACCCACTGCTGTGTACCAGCACCGACTCAAACCAGCTCTGTGTGCTAAAGCCAGAGCACGATGCTGACTGAGATTTACTGAGGGATTTATTAGATAGAGTTTTTAGGGGAGGGGAGGAGGCGAGGGCTGCCGGCTCCCTGATTTGGGTGGAGCTCTGGTGGTCACTCAGCCCAAACCGAGGCATCCTCATGGTGCTTGGCTGCAGGACGTTGCTCCTCGCTCTCGTTGTCGCTGTCTGTGCCTGGGTTGCGAGGTGGCTGCACACGCAGTGAATCGTAGTTGGGTGGGGGGGTGCCAGGCTCAGGGGGCAGCGCCTCTCCCTGCGTCGCAGCACTGGCCTCCTCATGCTGGAAGCCCAGGTTGGTGTGAGCCTCCACCAGCTCCGACACAGTTGGTGGCACGTCTGGGTACCGTGCCCGCGCACGTTTCTGCTTCAGGCCTTTGCACCAGCTGATGATGTTGATTATGGTGATCCACAGCGAGTCGATGATGATTTCCCCAAACTCAATGAGGCACAGCACGGAGCCCCCCATCCAGAACCCGAACTGACCTCCTAGGCTCGACAGCAGCCACACGATCTGCAGATAGGAGCAGGGAGGTGATGTCATTGAGGCCAAGTTCGTGGCATAGCACCACAGCAGCACCGCACAGACACTCACCGTGGTGGCAGCTGACTCCGAGATCGTCCGGTAGTTGTACTCCTGGAAGTAGATGTTCAGCTTGATGACGCCGTTCCTGTAACACAAAAAGCAGGAGTTCCGAGCAAACCTGCCCTGCAGGTGTTCCACGTGTGCATCTTGTCTGCACGTGGGGATGAGCTGCTCCGAGCCATGCTGTAACTGCTTGCAATGCAAACTTCTGCCTGGTGCAGGGAAAGGTTAAGTGCTCGCAGCCATATGCTGGGGGAGATACGGTTCTGCTCCTGAGCAAGCAACACCATGTGCAACAAGAGCCTCCTGTGGAGACTGTCTGCTTGGGTTCTCCCCACCTGCTTCAGTCAGCACAGAGCCCTTGCTCAGTTCCTGCTGTTCATGCTCTGAGGGCATCAAGGAGCTGATGGCCTGAGTCCCAGGTAATCACTGCTCAGTGTCTGCCCTGCACTCAGCGGGTCACAGCGCACACAGCTTGTGGGAGCCTGGGTGGTGCAGGTGGGTGTTTGCTCACCGTGCACAAGTTGATCATCTCTTTGTTTCACTGTTTTGCTTTCAAGGCCTGGCATGAGGGCAGGACTGGGTTAGGGCTTTGTACCACCCCAGAAGGCTGTGTTGCAATGTGTGGGTTAACACGAGGCCTCCACAAGAACTGGCTTGTCAGGCAGGCTAAGCAGTGAGTGCTGTAGGAGCTGTTTGTGCTCCCACATCTGGCCATTCCTTGTCTCCCCATAATTCAGGGCTTGGGTTATCAGTGAATAGCTCATCGGCTCCCTTGGCTGCAGTGCAGCCCCGTCCTGCTGCTGTTGGCAGAGCATACATGGGTATAAAGGGCCGAATGCAGTCATCCAGGAGCTGAACCCCAGCAGCTCAGCGCTTCAGACTGCTGCAGGCAACCATTTGGGTATGCGTGGTTAATGTTCCTTTGGCTTAACTGCACATTTGGGTCTGTGTCTGACCCAGCTTGCTCCAAGGGGGAGCAGAGCATGTGAATGAAGCGCAGCTGAGGATCGCTTTATGTATCTTCCAGGCAAGCGCGTGCCGCAGCTTGTTCTCCCGTCTGCGTTAGCGCGTGTGCTCTGGCTGGAGGCCAAGGCTCATGTAAATCTAATGTTAACAGGCGCAGTAGAGAAGATAAAGTGGTTGTTCCTTTCGCTTACCTGTCCAGAGTCACATTTGTTGACATATCTCTTTCATAAGACAAAATATGGAAAATCCAGTCCTAGGAAAACAGAACTCGTTCAGAACCGAGCACTTGCCAGGGCAGGAGCTCAGCGAAGGAGGAAACCTGTCCTAAATAGTCCTGTTCTAACACAGCTCTGTTGCATTACAGCACGAGGAAGGGTTGCGCAAGGCGGTGCCACCGTAGCGTTTCACCCCTGGTGCCAGGCTCTGTTTGCTGGCTGAACATGAACATGTGTAATTGAGTGCCGAGGCGCAAGCTACCTGAACATTAGCTCTAAAAATACAGAGTGATTCACACGGTTACCAACAGGTGGTTATTAATGGCTGCTCCAAAACAAGAAATTGGAGTTACCTCGGAAGCCTCAGAGGGCCAATCTGCCATGGAGATGGTCATCTTGTACTGTGTGTCACTGGAAAGAGGAAAGCAGAATGTGAGTACCGGGCTTCCCCTGTTGGGAGTCACTGGGACTTCAGTGCCATTCAGACAGCAGCCCCACGTGGGTTTCTGCAATTGTAAAGAGGTGAGGATTGATGGGAGATGAAATGCAGGATTCCCTCCACCGTTACAGCTGCCAGAAGTGGTTTAAGCACTTACTTGCATGTTTCCTTACAAGAGTCAATGCAAATTTGTCTGTGTCTTATACTCGATCTCAGTGATGAATAGCAATACGCTGTTTGGTGAAAACAAAAAGTCAAAGCATCGGTTTAGATAAGAACCCACTTACTGGATTACATTAATTTCCCATAAGCAGTATTTCAATATGAGCATGCTGCACAAGTTTGCTTTCTTCCCTCTAAGAGAAACTCGCACAAAGCAGCAGCCAACCAAGTGCCCTCCTGCAGGCAGCACTGAGCCGAGGGCCTGAGCAGAGCAAGGACTGCAGTGCCAGCAAAAGCAGTTCAGCTGCAGGACTTGGAGTCCCTCCCTCCTCACACCCGTGCCCTGGGAGCTGTATGGTTGGTTTTGTTCGTGTTCTTACCCCAACCAGGGTTATCTTCGTTATTGCAGTAAGTTACCCCTTCTGGTAAAGGAAACATGTAGTGACCACAGCCACAGATTTCTGTCATGTGGTTCTGGAAACAGGAGCGTAGGCAAGCCTGGAAAAAGGGAGGAGAGAGCTGCTTACAAGGGGGATGTACTTTCCTGTGTTGCTTTGAGAACTGCCCTGATCCAGGCATGCTCCTTGCTGTGGTTCTCCTGCACAGAGCAGAATGCTCTGGGGCTGTGTGTGGTCAGAAGCCAGCACTGCTGTGGGGCTGGGCTGCAGCCCCTCACAGGCAGTGCTGCAACTGCAGTCGGTTATCCAGTGGGAGCTGCACTGGCAAGATGAGGTGGGTGAATTTGCCAGCCTGTTTGTAGTTGCTCTGCAATTACACTTTTCTTTATGGTGCAGTTTTACTACTCTGGATTTTAGACCATGTCGTAGTGGCAAGTCAAATGGAGGTAATTCACCTTGCGGGCATAGAAGAAGCTAAATGCCTAATTCTGGGCACAGAAGAAACTAGTTATTGTAGGGTTCCATGGCAGCAATACAGAGCTTCCAAAATGGAATAAAAATGCCCTATTTTATCCATAGACAGACCTGTTGTCTCCAGGCTTCCTATCACATGCTGACAAAGGGCTGGTTTTCACTTTAAAGCCAAGGCTTTAGAAATATTTTGACATAAAGAGCAGGTTTTAGAAATCTGAATGATCTCATCTGGGCATCTGCTTCTCTCCTTGAAGGGAGCACAGCTGCAGCTATGCCAGGACGCCATCCAGGGCTGCAGTGCCGTCAGCTCAGCGAGGCATGACGTTAATCAGCAGAGATCCACGTGGGATTTCTCGTGAAACAATGCACAAAGCAATAACAAAGTCTATGAGAAGATAATTGAATTTTAGAGCTTTGGCCAGGCAGAGCGCGTGGAGTGCCTGCGTGATAAGAAATGCACGTGGGTTGGTATGAGAAAGGTTTTGCTAAGGAGTCTGTGAAGGGACATGAATGATGTGGGCACAGGAGCACAGTGAGCATTTAGCAACTTCTAAGTAATAATGCAATCATTTCAAGTATTTGCTTAAATGTTACACGAGCGTCTTAGAAGGAAAGGTGAAGTGGTCCAATTGTTGAAATTATATAAAGGCAGAAATATATATATAAAAAAACCTTACTAACCAAAGCCCTTCAACCCATCTGAGATGTATCCCTCAGCCATCTGTAGATAACCCCAAAATGCTTTTGATGTTTTCCTTATTGCGGGGTCTCACCCCTCAGAACTGCTTCTCCCTTATGTTATAGCCAGTTACAGATTAACCAGTGCTCCATGTTTGCACTATGCTTTTATTAGGGATTCAAGGTTTACAAACACTCCAACTTTCTCATCCCAATTTTAAAGTGAAGAAAAGACAAAGCTCTGCCTTCACATCCCGCACAAAACAAGTGGCCTTCTCAGTGTGAGAAAGGACTTAATTCTCCTGAGAAGAGAACGATTAAGAGGAGCAGGAAGCAATCCCTGTGGCATTCATCCCAGTGGGGATAAACCCTTTTCCTTGCTCCGTGAGCTGCATCACAGTGAGAATGGTGGTTGTCTGCCAAAGCAGCGGTGCTAACCTCTTGATGTAAGTTTTAGTAATTGTGTTATTAGGTTTTCATCCTGCAACACAGCATTATTTCCACCGGATTGTTTCCAAACCTGGGGCTACTGCATGTTCAGACTCGAGTTCTGAATTACCGTGCTTCCTTTTGTGTCATTGCTGAGGCTGTGGGAACCTGGAATGCCTGGCACAAGTTCGAACTGCTTTGAGGATTTTCCCTAAAAGCCCTGTTTGATTCACAGTCACGTTTTACCTGTATGGAATAGGAAGTATTGTATTCGCTGTAGAGGTTCTTTACTGGGACGTCAGACCCGTTCATGGTGCAGTCGCTGTAGGGATAGCCCATCCGCTCCAGCTCATCCTGGAGGAAAACCCAAACAGCAAAGCTCTGAGCTATGCCCACACACGCAGGAGGAGCTACGCCTTCCGGGGCTGCTGTAAGGCTTTGATAAAGCACTTTGCCAGGACAGTTACATAAAAGTCTCCATAAACCGTTCCAGCCCACACCTAGTGTGTGCCTTGACTCTTTTGGTTTGAGCCAGTTCAGCCAAGACTTAAAACAAACTTGGTTGCTGTCCCATCAGATAACATTATTCTCAGACAATCTGCTCTAGAGGAATGCCACACATACCACTAACACACCGATGGAGGTTTCTGTCCCAGCCATCGCGTAGATGCCCTGATCCTTAAGGAATGGGAAGCTCTTCTGTTGGTGCAGCATCAGCCGTGCCCCGGCGGCAGACGACAGGTAGGGGATATAGTCCTGCTGGCTGATATCCAGAATTAACTTCAGCCCTGTGACAGGAGGCAAAATATTCAGAACGGGAAACTGGTGCCTTTAGTTAAAAAAACAAAAACGACGAGCATCTTTTCCTCTCAGAAATCTCATTTCTTGAGGGGAGAACCCAAGTCTGTCTGTCACATCACCTTTGGCAAATGCACAGAATGCAAGTGTCCCATTGAATGTTCAGCCATTCCCTCATGCTTTGGCTAGCCAAACGATACACTTCTGCTAGCTGCAGTCACACCAATTGTCTCTATGCTGTCAATTTCCCTGTTGGGGGCTTATCCCCTCTGGAAAAAGTTACTCCCTGCTATAGGGTTCTAGAGAAACAGACATCATAGATCTGTCACAGAAATTGCCACGGAGAGACAGAACAGTTCCCAGCACTTCTGTTCCTTTAACTCCTCCTGCTTCAGTGCAAGCTCTCTCTTACCAAACTCGGCTCCCGGGTTGGAAGAATTCAAAGCCTCTTTGTCCATGCCCCAGTTAAAGATGTAGCAGTTACCGTGGTCTGGGTGATAGATTTGGGTGAAATTCCTGGAAGAATCATATGCATCAAACTGTGACTCAGGGAGAACTAAAGGGTTATAAAATGCTGCATCTGGTGAGGCTGGATTTGGGCAGCTAGGTCTGGGATTTGCTTTAAATTGCTTCATTTGTTCAACACTTGCATAGAAATTTCAGCTGACTTAATTTCAATCAATCTGCTGTTGAAAAGAAGAAAAGCCAGGTACTGGCATGAGCTGAAGCACAGCTGGTGAAGATAACGATTTGTCGTAATGGAAAAGAATACTCTGTCATGCACATGAGACCAAAAAATACTGGCTTGCTCTGAGCTCTGGTAACAGGCTTCGGCTGGTGTTACACCTCACTCTTTGACAATAGCTCTCTGTTGTCTTCTGTGCAGAGGTGGCATTGCTGGCAGGGCTCCGTGCAGCCTGGGCTGCTGCTGTGCACCCATGTTTATCAAAACTGTGTGTAAATTTGGCACTCCCAAGAAACAGAGATGGATAAAATGCATCTCTCAGAGCCTCGTGTAAAAAGAGAGAGTAAAACCGAGGTCTGTGCTGACCCAGTGCCTAGCAGCTGATTATTGCTAAATACCTCAGGAAGCCCTCATGCGTGCTAGTAAGTCACAAGCCAAACAGCCCACCCAAAACTAAAACTCAGGCCATGCTATCCCCTAATATTGTTTCAGCCAGGATCACGTCCGAGAACTGCCATTAGATTTAAGGAGCAGAGGAGATCTTTCCATTAACCGATACATAAAAAGGCTGTTGTGCCTTTGGAGTCCTACACCATCCCCGTTTGCCAGGAAGAGCGGGATGCTCAGCGTTCACCTACTTGTAGTTGCAAGGTTCGGCCCCGTAGAGACACGCCAGGATCATGTCTTCTGCCTGGTAGCCCATCCTAATCCTTTCCTGCAGCGGCACTTTGGACAGGATGCTGGTGGACTGCAGGATGTACCACTCGGTCACCGCCTGCGCTGCGCTGGTGAAGTTCCTGTAGGTGCAGTTGTTGGAGCCCTGGTGGCTGCACTGGAGACACACACGGTCAGGTCTCCCCGTTCCCCCCAGGGCACACCCTGCTCCGTGCCACCCCATCCACTGTCCTCATGAGAGCAAAAAGCACGGCCAGGGAAGCTGTGGAAGCAGCGATCTCAGCTGGGTGTGCTCAGCAGGCACTTCCCTGGGACATTTCTCTGTTGGACAGGTGCTCCATTGGCCCCAGCAGTTACCAACACATGCTTACAGTGATCATCACATAGGGGCTTAGAAATACTTTCAGCTACATGCTTTCAGCAGCACGCCCTTACCAGCTTCACCGCCAGCTTGTACTTCTTCTCTTCCGACGTCGCGTTGGTGGGGGCAGGAGGAGCAGCAGTTTGGTTCCCTGCGGCGCTTTGGTTGGTCTCAAAGATCTCCACGATGACTGGGTTGTCCTTGTCCTGCTCATCAATGAGCACCAGTGGGATCTGGTTCCAGAGCTCCAAATCCAGCCCCTCAGTGGTGTTGCTGCCGTTCAGCGGCAGGGGCGAAATGGGGTCCCCATGTGTGGGCTGCAGGATCCTCTCTAGCGCCGCCTCGATGAGTTTGTCCAGCTCCTTCAGCAGGGGCTTCACCTCTGAGTACCTGCAGGGACACAGGGGGAGGGCGGGCAGTGCACAGCAGCCCCCTCACCAGGACTCCGTGCTGCAGATGTGCTGCACAGCAGCAGGATGCACCGATAGTCAGAGGCACTGGGACCCCATGCTGCCAACCTTGTTGTGCTCACGTGGAACTGCACAGCTGTATTGCAGTGATTTGCTATAGTTTACACAAAACACTAATTGCAAGGAGAAAGGAAAAACCAATGGATCCCTGTGTTTTGGTCACGAGCATCTCACCTTGCACGACTCTATTGTATGGGTAAAAATCTGAAGCGGCTCTACTGAAGATCTCCTTTGAAATCACAGCTGAATTATATTACTGTAGCTCATGGCAGATACCGCTGTTTAACTAGCTCTTAATAGCTGAGTGTGTGTGATAAGAGAGATGTTCATAGTGGGGAAAAAGAAAGGAATTGTGGGGAGAGATCACGAGACTGATTTGGATTGTGACAAGTTAGTTGAACTTCAAGTTTTCTCTGAGCCAGGGAAAGTTTACAAGGAGGCAATAACCATTATTAGATTAACTGATACGGTAATGAGAACAGACAAACCCGCGGGTACACAAACCCTTCCCTGGATCCGAGCCAATCGTTTTTATACTGTGCTCGTTTGTTTGCTTTTCAGTGCCACTCCGTGAGTCGAAGGACCATTTTCACCGATGCTCCTACTGTCATATCTGAGCCAGGAACAGACTCACAGATCTTCTGCCAGCAACACAACTGAGCGTGCTAATGTGGGGTGAGCTGGAGGAAGGACAGCTTACTTGAAGGGGTTGGCATTGCAGACTGTGACTGCTGGGAACTTCATGGTCTTAAAGCCGATAGAGAGCGATGAGGTGACGTCGTAAGAGAGGTAGGTGTTGATGAGGATTCCCCACTGCCAGAAGACCAAGGAGGCGAAGAGCAGCGTTAGGAAGAACCACATGACTTTCTTCTTTGGCCCCTCCTTGATGATGCGCTTGGGGCCGTGCGTGTTGGTGTTGTCGCAGTACCAGACCAGCAGCTCCTTGTAGGTGTAGCCAGGGCCCTTCTGGAGGCGGTGCAGGGCCCGGATGAAATATTTCTTCAGATTCATCCTGGTATCTGCAAGCGGGAAAATGAGGTCAGAGCAGCTGCTGGGAGACACAGGGCTTGCATCGCTGCATGCTGACATGGCTGTGGGTCACAGCCCTGGGGGATGTGGGGCAGCCCACGGGAGCTGCACACATGCTGCAGTGGAGCTGGGCTTGGTGTTCACAGAATCACAGAATCACAGAATTGTAGGGGTTGGAAGGGACCTCCAGAGATCATCGAGTCCAACCCCCCTGCCAAAGCAGGTTCCCTACAGTAGGTCGCACAGGTAGGCATCCAGGCAGGTCTTGAACATCTCCAGAGAAGGAGACTCCACCACCTCCCTGGGCAGCCTGTTCCAGTGCTCCGTCACCCTCACTGTAAAGAAGTTCTTGCGCACATTTGTGCGGAACTTCCTATGCTGCAGTTTCTGGCTGTTTCCCCTTGTCCTGTCTCCACTCACCACTGAAAACAGTCTGGCCTCGCCATTCTGCCCCCCACACCTTAGATATTTATAGACCTGGATCAGGTCCCCTCTCAGTCTCCTTTTCTCAAGGCTGAACAGACCCAGTTCACTCAGCCTTTCCTCGTAGGAGAGATGCTCCAGGCCCTTCACCATCTTCGTGGCCCTCCGCTGGACTCTTTCCAAGAGATCCTTGTCTTTTTTGTACTGGGGAACCCAGAACTGGACGCAGTACTCCAGATGAGGTCTTACAAGGGCAGAGTAGAGGGGGAGGATCACCTCCTTCGACCTGCTGGACACGCTCTTTTTAATGCACCTGGTGTTCAGCTCCCATGGGGCTCAATGGAGTTTTTCTTAAATGGATGAGAAAGTATTTAGGTGTACAAGAACAGCGGGGGGTGGGGGGAGAGGATTTAGAAAGGGCAGACTCTTTCCCAAGACCAAGAATGCTGCTCAGTGTGTGCTGCCCGCCAGAGGAAGAACAATAGATGTGTTTTTTTTTCCACCAAATTCCTTTGTCTTTAAGATAATATCGGTATGTTTCGACCGCTCACGTGAGGGATGCTGCATATTTTACATTCATATTGTGAGTAAATAGAACATTTTGTGCTATTTCTGAGGCGAGAATTTGTGTTACTAAATCTTAATATCCTGGGGCAGGATTTCAAAACAGTCGGCTACCTGGAGGATTCCTCAGCCTTCAGCTGTGGGAGAACAGAACCAGAGATAAATGTTGTGCCTATCACAGCATCCTGAGCTAATAAAGCACTATTTCCATTGAGGCATGAACCTGCGGCACGAGGTACAGAGCAAATGCTGCACTTTCGTATCTGAAAAAAGTCACTGCTGCCAGGCTTGAGCCTGCGTGCTCCTTTGTTCAGTTCTACAGGAGTCGTGCACACATTCAGTCTCCATCTTGAGTTAATTTCTGTTTAACTGCTAACTTTGAGAGTGCCGTTACTGGCTACTGACAGCAATGGGAAGGCAAAACAGCTTCACATGGAGTTTAATGAGGGTTTAAGGATCAGGAGCCTCCCAGCTTGCTTCATCTGCTCAGCAGCCATAAAAACACTGCACTGAAGAATGGCATTGTCACTTTTTAAAGTTACATTCATAGAATCATAAAATGGCTTGGGTTGCAAGGCACATCAGAGATCATCCATTTCCAACCCATAGGCAGGGTTGCCAACCCATAAAGCAGGCAGCAGCTGAGGCTGCCCAGTGCCCATCCATGGCCGTGGGCACCTGCAGGGATGGGGCACAAAAGTGCCACGGCCTGAGTGCCCTCTGAGTAAAAAAGCCCCTGCCATCTGATCTCAGGGGGCACTGCCACTGCCTTTACCTCCCTGTGGCCACAATCCCAGCACCATCCCAATGAAACTCCTCCACCTCTGATGTGAGATCAGGCTCCCACGTTACGAAATGACAGTGCTGGCTGTGCTTAGCTCGCTCTTGGCTCTTTCCAGGGCATTCCCATTTACAGGAAATAAAGACATCAGCAAAACTCAGCACGCTGCTGGAAACTGTAGGGTGATACCGGGGCTGTAAAATCACCCCAGCAGCGCCCAGCCCTGATACTGCAATTACTGCACACTTTCTCTGCTGAGGCATACTGCAGTCACCGTTCTCTGCTCACACGCCGTGTTCTCCAGGGCTGGAGGAGCAGCAGCAGGCAGCAGGAAGATGGCCGTGTCCTCCTGGGGAGGGCAGTGATGCTCTCCAATGATGCTTTTGCAGCTTATGGATAAGGTTTCTAACCCATTTTAAGTTCACAGGATGGCAGTTAGCAGGAAAGTGGAATGGCACCATGTCACTGCCCATGGAGCCCCCAAGCCCAGGGCACAGCATGCCCAGTGGGGTTGGTTTTGCCCTGCTCTGGCCCTGCAACAATGCAGCAACTACCAGCTCCCGCCTGCTATGTGCCTCTCAACCTTTGCTGAATGTGCGTGGTGCCGAGGAGCAGCTCCAGGCAGAGGTACAAAGCACCACCTGGCTCCCTGCAGTGGATTCAGTGCCCCATCCATCCCACCTCTCCCCGTCCCTCCACTTTCCACAGCATCACTGTCTCCAGGGGCGGTGAGAAGCCTCACTCCTCGCACGGCAGCACAGTCACATTGCTGAGAGTCATCTCCGCAGCTTGGGCACCGAGCAATGTGGATCTCACGGTGCGGAGGGGCAGAGCCCCCGGCAGCTTCCCACAGGCCCGGAACGGGAGCGTCCCCAAAGGCAGCGGACAGAGGAACACCCAGAGAGCTGCGGTCTACTTCCATCCCTCTTATCGTGGAGATTAAGGTATGAAAGCCGAGTGTAAACAGAGGGTAAATCAGAACGGCTGCACCCAGCAGCACAGCGCATCCAAAGCGCCGCTGGCACCCGGAGCTGCGCTGCTGTCAGAGAGTGTCGGGGCCGGTGACCGAGTCAGCCCGGGAGCTCACCCTGAGGAGCTCCGTGCCTGAGTGAGCGTTTCCCATCCCACAAAAAAATGTCAACAAAGAACTACGCTTAAATATTATTTTCTCTCTCTATGAGCAACGCTACACCTGCCGGGATGGTAACCCACGGCCTTAGCTGTGAGAGGCAGAACAGCACTGCGTAAAGGTTACAGTTCGGGAGGTTCACAGACGCCCGGAACTCCGCACCGCTCGGCTCTGAACACCGGCAGAACGCTCTTGGCCTTTCCTACTCCCTCCGATCACCCCCAAGCAATTTCTCACGAACGCTTTAGCAGCCGGCGTTGGGGACGGGCGGCCCCGCACAACTCTCCTCGCCCGGCTCCGCACGGCTCTGCCCGGCTCCGCGCGCTGCGGGGCAGCCACGCAGGAACAGCCCCCCCCCACACCCCCCTGCTCCCACCGGGGCTCCTCCGAGCCGCCGCCGCCTCCCCCGCACCCCGCGCCCGTCAGACGCCGTCAGAAGCCGCGGGACGGAGCTCGGAGCGTGGCAAAGGAGCGGACGGGATGACGATACGCGGCGCGCAGCCGGCCCGGCGCTTCCCATCCCCGCCGCCCCCTGCCCGTACCTGCTCCGCCGCGCTGCGCCCCGATGCCGCCGGGCCCCGCGGCGCTCCGCCCCTCCTCCCGCCCCCCGCCCCGCACGGCATCCGGAGCCGCCCAGCGCCGCCGCCCGCGCTCCTCCCGGGGCTGCTCCCCGCGTCCCGGCCCCGCGCCTCCCCCGCTGCAGGCACCTCCCGCCGCGTGTTTCCCGACGGGAAAGCGACGGAGCCCCATTGGAAGGAGGCCCGCACCGGGGCCTGTTGGGCTGCGCTGTTAGCGCAGAGCCGTGCCCACCGGAGCTGCCGGGAGCTTTGGCACCGCGCGGGCGGTTCCGAACGGCTCGATATTTGTTGTCAAAAATCGGTTATGGCTGTATTTTTTTTTTTCCCCTCCCACTATATTTTTTTTTTTTCCCGGAGGCCCTTTGGCAGCTGTGTTCAGCAGCAGGACGCTGCTGGGCGCGCTTTTCTGCGGGTGTTTTGTACACCGCCGCCTTCACGTGCGAACCATGGGGAGTGTTGATGCTGAAACAGAAGGCAGCGGCGGGGCACGGCGGTGGCCGTCTCCTGTCGGGACGAGCGACCTCCGCCTCGGTGGCACGACAGCAAAGCCGCGCTGCCGCGGTGTGGGGATAACGGCCAGAGCATCCCGAGCAGGGACCGGGAGCGAGGGACCCTTAGAACCATAAATCGCATCTCACCGTTGTAAAACACGGTTGCTCCTTGCTAGGAAAAGTAACCATAGCTCTGTGTTCGATCAGAACTTGGTCAGACCTTCCCAAATGTCCCCCCGCTTGCTGTTTGGGAACAAAAGGGATTTTTATTTCTAAATTGCACAAGAACACCTCCTGCCGTGAGGTCAGACGTGGAATGCAGGATCGTATTTAAGCAGTGTTTTCAGGTGAAGCCAGAACGAACAGGTTTGGTAGTGAACACCAGCATTCACCTGGCCTATAACATCCATCTTGTCAAAATAATCGCCCTTCTATTGCAGCTGATCTCCCCACAAAACAACATCTGCTAGCAGCACTGGCAGCCCTTATGCTGAGCACAGAGCAGGCTGTGTTTGTTCCATGGTTTGAACACAGTCAGCAGTGGAGGTGACCTTGAGTTTTGCTCAGCCTGCTGTCGTGTCTCCCGCTTGCTTCCCAAGAAAGTTTACTTCATAAGCAGAAACCTGCTGCTAAAAACACAGCTGGGAGGCAGGCAGCAGTGCCCCCACGCCATGGCATTGTGCTCCTGCTCTGTGTGGCAGGGCGTGATGCACTGCTGGTGGCTGCTAAACACAGCTGGGAAATGGGATCCGGGGACAATCCGTGCTGGAAGCATCAGCTGGCCTTGGCTGTGTCTGGGAAGGTGAAAATGTTGGAATGATAATGGTGTAAAGAAGATTGCAAAGGGTCTGGGGTGGCTTCTAGGTTGAGGTAGGAATAAAGAAGTGCAGAGCTGCTCTCACCAGAGCTTGAATTGGAGCATCTGGAATGGTTCCACATGAAAGGGAACCCCCCCAAGGTGAGACCCATCTCAGCCACGGACAAGGCACAAAAGTCTGTAACTGCCTCCATCATCCACGTCATGCTATGCTGCTCCTGGCTGAGCACTGCCCTGCATAGGGGGTGGTGCAACTCCACAGGGTTCCCTGGTTCTACTGTGCCCATTGTGCCCATTGTGCCACCTCTGGGGCCATTGGATGGGGTCACAGCGCTGCACCCCGGGTACACTAACCTCCCACTGTGACCTCTGGCAAGGGGATGGGAAAGCAACCAGGGAATGCTGCAGGTGCTGTGGTTTGTTACTGCGCATTCGTTTGAGTGGCCCCAGGCTGCACACACCCCCCAGCTTGGCACAGCGCCGCCGGTGCTCGGCACAGGGGCTGCTTGGGGGCAGCAGACAGGAGCTGCGGGTTGCTGTGCAACACTGCTCAATTCTGCATTGGTCACTTCCAGCCATGTGCCAATGGGACCAGGAAGGCAGCACTGCCCGCACTGCCCTCACCCTCGTGTCCCTCGCTGACCCGCAGAAATGGCATCCCCTGTTCCTATACATGGTGCAAAGAGGCTAATTCGGCACTTTAATTGCTTGTTTTATCAGGTGCCCTTTCAGAAACAACGCCATTACTAAACAAAATAAGACAGCGAGTAATTTAGTTTCAGCCCGTAAAGTTGCAGTCAAAAGATACTGAGCATCCAACCTGCCGAGCTGTTACACGGGCAATCACTGCGTATAAAACCTTTTAACTAATCTCTGTTTGCGTTACAAAGATCAGGCAGTAAAATGGAGCCTGGTGAGGTTTACAGCCGGATCGCTGCCCGCGGGGCTGGCCGGCTGTCCCAGTACACCGTGCTGTGCTGCACCGAGGGGCAGGAGGGTGGCAATGGTGGGGGAGGTGCTGTGATGGGGCAGAGAGGTGATGGGGAGATAGGGCGAGGGGTTGATAAGGTGATGGGGCACTGGGGTCACTGCCAGGGTTGTGGTGTGGTTTCCGTGCACACCCTTTCCATGCACAACCCCTGGTTTGGGGAGTTCCAACCATGCTGTTTGATTCAGAACGTGAGAGGGGGCAAACCTTATTTCAGCTGCAGACTGATCGGTGAATGAACCTCAACCCACGGCTGCACACATCTTTGTGCCTTAAAACTCAGACAAGGATTTGTCAAGGGTGGCAATGTGATGTGGAATTAGATGCACTGATTTGCTTTTTCTGCCATAAAACTTCAGCAGAAAAATTAACTTGGTCGCGACTGCGCGGCGCAGCTGAGGTACAGCCCATAATACTATGCTATAGAGGGGGAGTGCTGCGGAGGGCCCCAGGGCACTGCTTTATGATCCCTTCCCATGCTCTGGGGACAACATGTAAAATATTTTGTGACCAATGAACTTTTATAACGAGAAGGAGACCGAGGGATGATTGCTCGCCTCAATTATCTCAAGGAACTCGTTGTACCTTTCAGGATTGGTTATGTAAACTTGGGTGAGAAGGTCTTAAAATATAACAGAGGAAGAACTGTAGCAATATTGCCCTATGAAAACACTGTGATTCATGGTGACTCCAAGCGGCAGCGGGCTTTAGCCGTGCTTCACAGCGATTGCATCTTCCGCTGGGACCGCAGCGTGCTCTTAGTTTCAGGTGAGTTAATGAGTGAATGAGGACATTTTTCCATCTCTGGGAGTATACCTGGGGAAAAGAACGAGGACAAAGACGCAGAGGAATGGTCATGTCTCGGGATGCTGCATGAGGCTGGGCTTCCACAGCCAGCTGGAAATCCTCAGGTCTGATTTGGGTTTCACGGATTGACTGGAGGGCGCCAACACACAGACCGTGGTGCAGGACAGGACAGAACGCCCGAACACACCATCCGTGGGCCCGGAGCAGGGCTGTTTTCACGTTTGCAGCTCCAGCTGTGTTGCAAGCAGGCTGGGAGCAGAGCGAGTCCCAGCTCAGCTCTGAGCTGAAGCATGATCTCAGCGTGAGCCAGGGGAAGCGCCGCATTAGCAAGGAACTCGCCGCGCTGCATTCCGTGGTGCTCCGCGCGGCACAGCGCAGTGCCGGCCAGCAACCGTGCCCATGCCGTGGTGCCCGGAGCGCCGGGTGGGACAGAGCATGCCCCATGCCCGTGCCCTACATCCGCATCCGTGTCCTGTATCTATGTCCCATGTCCCGTGTCTGTGTCCCATGTCTGCTGTCCCTTGCTCACGTTTGTGCCCCTCATCTCCTGTCTCAAGTCCTGTGTCAGTGTCCGTGTCCACATCCATGTCTCCCATCCCGTGTCTCTCGTCCCATATCCATGTCCAAATCCATGTCCCCTATCCCATGTCTGGTGTCCCATATCCCCTGTCCAATATCCATGTTCGTATCCATATCCCTTGCCCATTGCTGTGGTCCAGCTGCCCTGGCCGGGTGCCCTCACTCTGTGCTCTCTGTGCTGTGTGTAGCATCCCTGTTCTTAACCAGGAGGTGCTCAGGGCTCAGTCGCAGTGCCCTGCAGGCGGTGGGGTAACGGGGCTGTGCTCCGTATGGGTCAAAGTACCACACTGTGGCTGTTATCTGCTCTGGCACCATTTCATTACACTTTTCTGGGTCAGGATGAGTAAGTTCATGTCCTGAAAAAATTAAAGGTGAATAAGAAAGGCAATGCACACCTGTTCCTGCTGTGTCACAGGTGGGGGCTGAGCCCGAAGGCCTTTCCCATAGGCACGTGCCAGAGATGCCTTTCCCCAGCCCCGGCCATTTACATTAATGAGGCATTCAACCCTCAAACCTGTTTGTGGCCCACCGCATGAAAGGGGACTCTCAGGTACCATCCACCCTGTCGATGCTACACAGCCACGTTGGTGGCACCACAAGGAGTGCAGAAGACCCTTGGATGTAAGGAAGAAGCTGTTCACACTGAGGGCAGTGAGACAGCAGCACAGCGTGGTCAGGGCAGAGCTGCCCCTGCTCCCTGCATGAAACACAACCTCAAAAAAAAGTAGGAAGCATTTATTCAAAAATATATCTTTATTTTTTTTAGTTTATCAGCTATTTAAATAATCCAGTTAAAATATATTTTATTGCACATGAAAGAACCATTCTGGACTCTCCCTTTCCTATATAAAATAAGTTCATCTAGAGAGAAAAAGCAAGAGAGGGACTCCTGTACACACACATGCATGCACACTTGCACATTCACTACTCAATACCACGGCAGCCAACAGCTGCAGGCAGTGAGGATGGGCTGCAGCAGACACTGCAGGAGCAGGAGTCAGGCAGGAGCCCACAGGAAGGCAGCTACAGGCCAGGGAGGAGAAGCTGCAGCCCATCGCTGTGCCCCGAGCAGGGCACACACAGAGCCCAGGCAGTGCCAGCAGCTGCTCTAAGGCTGTGTGTAACGAGTGCCTCAAACCATGTTAGCTGGAAGAAGCTTGCGGGATACCCCATTCATTACTGCAATCTGAATTTGATTTCATGCCCTTTTCGGGTGATTATTTTGGGGAGACTGAGGTCCTCCGACTCAAGCTATGAGTAATTTGCTCTGCACGCACATCTGTGACCGTCCTGAGTTTTCCTCCCAGAATAACACCTTTGG